GCTGTCAACAAGTAGATCTGCATTTCACAGTTATCTGTCTTCTCGCCAAAACTGTGATCCAAAGGATCTATACAGCTCCTTCGTACCCACTTTCGCAGTGAAATCACCCAGAGTTAGGCAGGCACTGAAGCTGTAATGTGCGATGAAACGGTTTCCGGAAAGTTCATTGACTGCAATTCACCAACGGAAAGTTCACCGACTGGAAAATTCACTGACCAGCAATTCGTCGAACGGAAAATTCGCCGATTTTACAATTGATTGCCGATATTTTATTTATAATGGTCATAAACCAGTATTATTTAGAAATAACATATTTGAGAGATTATGTTTTTGAGAAGAATAATTACCATAATACTACCTACTGACAGAAAAATAAATTTTATCTAATGCATTTATTTAGAAATGGCATATTTGAAAGATTAATTAATGAGCACAATAGTTACCATGCTTCATCTTTATATAGAGCCTCAGAAAATTCAAAGAGGTTAAATTCGAAAAGTTCTTCGAGTGTAATACTTGAGTTGCGAATCTTCATTAACCGTCATGGCCCTTCAGTTTGTCGCGTATGAAAAGAGAAGACAGAAGCGTTTAGTGGAAGGTCACTTATTTTTCAAAGAAAAACAAGCTGACAAGACATATTGGAAGTGTGAGATGTATCAGAAGCACAAGTGCCGTGTTCGTGTAATAACAGTTGGAGATGCCATTGAGGCTTTGAAGGGAGTCCATGACCATATCGTGGATACAGCTCATGTAGAAGCTTTGAAGATGGAGGATATTGTACTGATCATGCAATCAATAGCCGAGAAGCACCCCAATATATTATATATAGTTGCGTTTGTGGGACTTGGCAAAATGCTGTAGGTCGTATTACGAAGAACGGCAGTATTAAAAGAACGATGCGAAACATCAGGATAAGGAAACAAGCAGCACCAGCTTTGCCTATGACCCGAGAGGAAATTGTTTTTCCCGAGGAGTACAAGATATTTACAGAAGGTGAGCCGTTCTTGTTGTTTGATTCAGGACCGACGGAAGATAGAATTGTTCTATTTTCCACCGCAAGAAATCTCCGGTTACTGGCCTCATCTGAACATTGGTTTGCGCACGGAGCTTTTTAAACAGTGCCGCAGTGCTTCATTTGTTTTACCAACTCTATACACTCCATGGTGTTCAGGTGAAGAGTTCAATTCCGCTTTTGTATGCTCTTCTACCAGACAAGGCAGAAGCCACATATGTTGGGTTATTGCAACAAGTAAAACAGGTTGAACCTGATGCTTTCCCAGAAACAGTTGTGGCTGATTTCGAACCTGCCGCAGTTAGTGCTATTCGTCAAGAATTTCCAAGGGGTACACCGAGAGGACGTTTCTTCCATTTCTCGCAGTGTATATTCCAAGGATTCAGGCAGAAAATCTTCAAAGAAGGTTCGAAACTGACATTGAATTTCCTATGAGAATACGACTGTTGTCTGCGTTGGTCTTTTCCAAATAGAAGATGTGGTAAAAGTATTTTAGCTTATTAGCGGTAGCGATGATAACATGTCTGAAGAAGCACAACGCTTGATTGATTTCCTTGAGGACTGCTGGACTGGACGTGCTCAACGATGCATGGGACACCGAATGCCCCGTTTCTCCGAAGGAGTAAGACACCGTCTTCCGAAGACAAATAATGCAATTGAAGGGTGGCATCGTGGATTCGAAATACAAATATCTGTACAA